ATTGGTAAGGGAACCAGTGGATGTGGGGTTTGGTGTAAAGGGGTCCCAGAACAATGACACACTGACACTTGGGGGCCCCAGAACAATGCCACACTGACACTTGGGGGTCCCAGAACAATGATACACTGACACTTGGGGGCCCCAGAACAATGACACACTGACACCTAACCCTAAGGCTGGTGGATCTACATAGAAGCCATTCCTGGTACATGCAGACAGACTCAGATTGCGCTCTGACAGCAGCCTGTCCTATTCTATTCATTTGTTGTGATTTAGTGTTTCTGGGAGCCCCCCCCTCTGTTTTGTGTTACTTGGTTCAGCCCCCTGGAGTAACACTCCCAGCCTCCCCATGCTCTCCAATTAGTTTCTGTCTCGCCTGTGCTGAATAAAGAGGCTTTAAGAGTGAAATGTCCCCTCCAAGAAAACAAAGAAAATCTTTCCCTGAATGTTCCAGGCCGGAATAATCTCCATCGGATTCCTCTTAGGTCTTCGTGGTGAGTTGACGCTGCCTGTGGATCTTGTTGAATCAGCTAGTTGCCACGCTGTACATACACACTGAGTCTCAGGAGGTCAATATCGGAGACATAACACAAATGTTTTGCAGGCAGAATATTTGGAAGAATCGTGCGTGTAAGGCCATAGCTTGCCCGCTACTACGCATGCACAGGTCCCAGTCTTCCGGGTTGCTGGAAAACATGAGTTAGCACACATGCACGCACAACGGAATGTGGCACACAGGAAGTGACACAGTGGCGCACAGGAAGTGACACAGTGGCGCACAGGAAGTGACTCACTGACTCTAATAGATGTTCCTATTTAAACCAGCTGGCCCAATGGGTCAGTACTGATAAGTCTTTCAGCTTGTGTTCCTGCTGATCTGTTGCCTGTTACCTCGACCCGGATTGCTGCCTGCCCCTGACCTCTGCTTGTTATCTGGACTCTGCCTCTGCCTGCTCCTTCTGTGCTGACCACCTTGCTTGGCCCCCCGGCTTGTTTGACCTCGCTCCAATTTCTGCTGCAAACCTCGCTGACATCACAGCTGTGCACCCGCCCTGCCCCTCCCTCCAGGGATCCAGTGGCCGGACTCCTGCCAGGCACCGTGTCTGAACACCTTGGCCCCCCGTGCTTCTCTCTGTCTGCTCGCTCCCTGTCCCCCAATCCGGGGGTGTGAGACAAGAGCCGCAAGGGAGGCCTCCTCAGCTAACCGGTCCTCCACCAGGTACATGATAGTGCGGCTGGGACAGAGGCAATTCCTGATTTCAGTGGCTCTATGTGTAAGATTATACGTTGGGCCCCCTGAGAGCCCGCAACATGTGAGAGCCGTGACACCTTAGCCACCGACATGTTTACGTTTGTTTATCACCCTCCAAGTCTCAGCAACATACCTGCTAGGGGCACATGCCACGCACACTGCGCTGAATGGGGGATGTGGTCGTATTGCACACTGGGAAGGTCTTAAAGGGGCATGATGAAATGCAATGTGAGTCTAACAGACGTGTACAGCACTCGGCACAATCATGTGTTTTAAAAATGAAATCGGGTTGCACCCCCTGTACAGAAAGGGGGGGGGGGATATAAGGTATTATCACCAAGCCATGGGGGCTCTGCTCTCTGGGACACTAAAGCATTCAGTGTGGCGCTGATGTTGGAAATGCAAAGCATCTACTTATGTACTGTAACTTCTCTCTTTAGCTGTAGGGGGCGCTGTAGTGCAATGTCACTCTCCAGGTGCATGCTTATCTATGATACACAGAAAGTTCCATATACATCGATACAACGTTCTTCTAAGCAAGAAAACTTAAAGGAGAAGTATGAGGTCAGTGTTTTTCCCCATAGTTCTCCTTAGGGTAACGGGAGGACACAAACTAGCGTCCTCCCGTCACCCGAGGCTCAGTATATAGGGAGCTACAGCTCGAGGTATACTGAGTCGCCGCAGCTGATCCCGACGTAGGTGACGGGATCCGCCCAGCTGCGTGAGTGACAGCTGGCTCCGCCTATCTAGAGGCAGAGCCAGCTGTACCCGCCCCCTCCCCCGTCCGTTCCGCCAGTCAGCGCTGGCAGATCGGAGCGGGGAGAGGGGAATCCAGCCCTCCCCCTGTCCCGGCAGAGAGCCGTGACAGGATCGAGAGGTGAGCGAACCTGGTATGTGTTCCCTCACCTCCCGATCTACTGAGCCGACCTGTGGCAGTCTCATTGTCACAGGTCGGCTTAGAACTATGAGGTGAGTGGAAATCACCCATCTCATACTTCTCCTTTAATTCAGCATTCCTGAAAATCTGAGAGCTTCATCTACACACATAACCAATGGCTGAGAGATAACACTACCGCCTCAGCGTGGAGCCGGCACTCCTCACCCTCTGATATTAGAATGTCCCTTCTGGGTACCAGAGGGAGACAACAGCAGATGGGATGATTGAGCTCTGAATGACATCCGATTGGATACCTCACACCAGGGATAGGCACGGACCAAGGCTGTGGCAGACAAGTACAGACCTTAGTGAAGGAACAAAGTTACATTTCAAATTAAAACCATCAAAAACACTCTGTCCTAGTTCCACAAGTACAAATACGTTATATACTATGGCAGACATCCCAACTCTCCCGGAGGTTCCAGGAGTCTCCCGCTATAAGATAGCAGCTCCCTGAAGCCCGGAAGAGAAACAATTTATCCCCGGAAAGTTACCTGCATATGAAGTTGTCACCATGTTTGTGTGCTTCGGATTTCCTTGCTGGGCGGACGGAGTAAAGTCATATCTTCCAAAGTGTTTAAGTGGTGATAACATGTGAGTGTATTTATCACCGCTGGATGGATCGCCTCAGAAGGTGGGCTGTGAGTTAAGTGGGTGACGGCTCTTGTATTAACCGCTTGTATGTAGGAGTAATCTGCGTCAGTTATTGTGAATAAGATCGCAGACCAAGTCTGGGGAAGTAGTTAAACATAATATGAGACCACCTGATACAAATTATCATGATGATGGAGGAAAGATTACAATGTTTCCAGTTGTCTGTACTCAGATCGATTGCTGTGCAGAGATACACAGGCGGATTGTAGAAAGGTTTGCGATAGGGCAGCGGTTCTCAACCTGTGGGTCGCGACCCCGTCGGGGGTCGAATGTCGATTTGCCAGGGGTCGCTTAGTGGCTCCCGGCCGCCTGGGAGAGAAACAATGTATCCCAGAAAGGTTTACTCTGCTCAATCGAGAAGAGTAAATCTTTCTCTGCTCTGTTTTTTTTTTTTTTCTGACATCGGGGTCCGCCGTCAGTCAGAAAAAAAAAAACACCATAGGAATGCATTGCTAGATTCCTATTGGCTATTTCACTTTGCAATAGCAAACTAGCTATTGCACCCGCCCTCTGCTGCTGCCAATCAGCAGAGGGGGACCTGAAGTTCTCCAGCAGGTCCCCTTCTAGTGATTGACAGCAGCAGAGGGCTGGTGCAATAGCTAGTTTGCTATTGGCTATTGCAAAGTGAAATAACCAATAGGATTCGCTTAGTGGCTCCCGGCCGCCTGGGAGAGAAACAATGTATCCCAGAAAGGTTTACTCTGCTCAATCGAGAAGAGTAAATCTTTCTCTGCTCTGTTTTTTTTTTTTTTCTGACATCGGGGTCCGCCGTCAGTCAGAAAAAAAAAAACACCATAGGAATGCATTGCTAGATTCCTATTGGCTATTTCACTTTGCAATAGCAAACTAGCTATTGCACCCGCCCTCTGCTGCTGCCAATCAGCAGAGGGGGACCTGAAGTTCTCCAGCAGGTCCCCTTCTAGTGATTGACAGCAGCAGAGGGCTGGTGCAATAGCTAGTTTGCTATTGGCTATTGCAAAGTGAAATAACCAATAGGAATCTAGCTATGCATTCCTATGGTGTGTTTTTTTTTTTTTTATGACGGCGTAAAGCGTACACATAGCACAGCCGGCCCTGCCCACCCTAACCCTAACCCTAAGGAGCTGGTCACATGACTGTGACACACCGCAAGGTCCTCCAGCATGGTAGAGTGTGGAGGGAGGAGTACAGACTGGAGAAGGGGAAGTAATCAATCTTATCAGGGGTCACAATCACGGTTTACACTGAACTCTATGGGCTGCTCTGTCAGTGAAACAATGAGTGTGCAGCGCTATAGGTGCTTCATATACAACGCATACATTGATTGTGCCGAATCTCTCCAGTGGTAAGTGTGATCCTTCTCCAGGAATATTATTAAAAAGGTGTCAAGAAGATTTTAAACAAATAAGCGAAAAGTATGTAGACAGAGTGCAATCAATGCTGAGTGATCTCAGTGTCACCATATAACAATACTCGTAAACTATTTAGGGTGAAACAGACAAGTGCATCATAAATGTAGCTGCGTATCAGCTAAAATGAAAACATAATCAAATCACGGTCAATAATCGGTTATAATCTATCAAACGAAAGTTCAAATGTGATAATAGTGCATAACAGCGCTGTGCAAGTGTCCACGCATCCCCCTCTGGGGTGCGCACTCACCCCACTGTTGTGGAAAATAAGCAGTGTAGATGGATCAAATACGTCCACATTCAAGATATTCTATCCGGCAGTCTCCCGTCACTGGAGCATTGGTGGGATCCTAAAAGAAAACTCCGCATGGTGTGGCAAGTACACACATTTATTTTTAAAAAAACATCGAAAACTTACAGTTAAAACAGCAAAGACCGGCCGGTCAAATCACAGCGCCGAATACAGCATCCGCAAGGCATGTACTTCCTGATAGAGCGTGGTATCACATGGAGTAGGCCCGCCCCCACGCGTTTCATCACAGACGTCTTCAGGGGGTTTGCAGGTCTTCTCATTGATACCTTATTACGACTTATATAGGCCGTGTAAAATCATTCATAGAAAGCGCCACTAGGTGTCCCCACAGTACAAAAAATCTAATTTCCTTTCTCAAATCGACGCAACAAGAAACAGATGTGTCCTTTCGGTAACACAATTGATAAAATAGCGCTCTTAAAGAAGCTAAAACGTTTTTTTTATTAAACCTAGGTATAAAAAACATCACATGGACTGTAAAAAAGCCGCGAAGGGTAATCTATTCATGGGATCTAGTATCAGTTATTTATTTATTAGTTAAAAAAACAGTTCAGATCAAATTATAGTGTCGAGGGGGAATATCCATTCAGATTCGTTTTGTAAGACTTTTTGGAGGAGGTTGCCCCCTCTCCAATGTTTTTCAATTTTATCTATACCCACAATGTTAAGTTGTTTTGGGTCACAATTATGGAATATTTTCAAATGTTTATATTGGCTTTGTTTATTATACCCCTTCTTTATATTGTCTATGTTTATTATACCCCTTCTTTATATTGGCTATGTTTGTTATACCCCTTCTTTATATTGGCTTTGTTTATTATACCCCTTCTTTATATCGGCTTTGTTTATTATACCCCTTCTTTATATTGGCTTTGTTTATTATACCCCTTCTTTATATTGGCTTTGTTTATTATACCCCTTCTTTATATTGGCTTTGTTTATTATACCCCTTCTTTATATTGGCTTTGTTTATTATACCCCCTTCTTTATATCGGCTTTGTTAGTATACCCCTTCTTTATATTGGCTTTGTTAGTATACCCCTTCTTTATATTGGCTTTGTTAGTATACCCCCTTGTTTATATCGGCTTTGTTAGTATACGCCCTTCTTTATATTGGCTTTGTTTATTATACCCCCTTCTTTATATTGGCTTTGTTTGTTATACCCCTTCTTTATATTGTCTATGTTTGTTATACCCCTTCTTTATATCGGCTTTGTTTATTATACCCCTTCTTTATATTATTTATATGCTCTTCGAGCCTAACTTTCAACTGTCTGGAGGTCCTCCCTACATAGTGTAGTCCGCAAGGACATTCTTAGAGGTAAGTGACATACCTACTATGACATGACACAAACTTCCTAATCTGATAGCGTTTGTTAGTGGTATTAGACTTAAACTCAGTCACCCTATTTCTTGTACCCGTCGTCCTACAGCTAATGCAATATTTGCATGGATACAATCCTATGCCATTGAAAAGAGTTATTTTTTCTTTGGGTGGATTAACTATATTCTTGGCCAGTATATTCCTGAGGTTAGGTGCCCGTCTGTAAACTACTTTTGGATTCTTGGGGAGGCTAGGACCCAGAGTACGGTCTCTTTTTAATATATGTCAATGTTTATTAAGAATATTTTCAACCTGTTTGTATTGGGCTGAAAAGTCTGTAATGAATAGAAGCGGGGGTGGGGGTTTTGGATCGTAAGGATGGCTTCAGAAGTTTTGACCTATCCGTATTCCGCACTTCTGTTTGTATTTTTCCCAACTCATTGGCATCATATCCCTTTTCTTTACATTTTATTTAACAGAAATTCTGATTGTGCATAAAAATCTTCCTCCTTTGTGCAGTTTCATCCTAGTCTAGTAAGTTGGCCCTTGGGGATTCCCTTTAACCACATAGGGTGATGACAACTAGAGACAGGAATAAATCCGTTCCTGTCAGTAGGCTTGAAAAAGGTTTTTAGTGACAAAATAGTCTCCGTGTATAGAAATATCCAAATCCAGAAATTGGATATTGGTGGTACTGATGTTATTAGTAAATGAGAGATTATGTTCATTCAAATTAAAGGAGAACTATGGGGCCAAAGTTCTCCTTAGGGTAACCGGAGGAAACAAACTAGCGTCCTCCCGTCACCCTAGGCTCAGTATATAGGGAGCTACAGCTCGCGGTATACTGAGACGCCGCAGCCGGAGCGGATCCCGACGTAGATGACAGGATCCACCCAGCTGCGTGACTGACAGCTGGCTCTGCCTATCTAGAGGCAGCTGTACCCGCCCCCTCCCCCGTCCGTTCCACCAGTCAGCGCTGGCAGATCAGAGCGGGGAGAGGGGAATCCAGCCCCTCCCCTGTCACGGCAGAGAGCCGTGACAGGATCGAGAGGTGAGCGAACGCCGGTATGTGTTCGCTCACTTCCCGATCTACTGAGCCGATCTGTGACAGTCTCATTGTCACAGGTCGCCCCGAACTATGAGGTGAGTGGAAATCACCCCCCCCTCCCCCCCTCTCATAGTTCTCCTTTAAGGGATTCAAGGTATATTTGGAGAGAATCTACATCTCCTTCCCACAAGACTAAAAATGTCGTCTATGTAACGTTTCCACAGTTTGATGTTTTGAATCCCTTTTTCAAACACAAAGATTCCTTCCCACATGGACATATATAGATTGGCCAGACTACGCGCAAATTTTGCGCCCGTGGCCACTCCCCTCTTTTGCAGGTAGTATCCACTGTCATGCCAAAAGAAGTTTCTGGACATAGCAAACTTTAAGCATTGTATGATAAAATCCCTTTGTTCTCCTTCATATTCAGAAAAAAGGTCAAGTGGCCATTTTACCGCTTTTATACCACCAGTATGTGGGATCGCCGTGTGCAGCGAGGCCACATCAATGGTGGCCATCACCATCGTCATGGTCCTTGGAATACTGAACCATGTTTCCTTGACTATATTACACAGTGGTGGGTCCTCCGCCCTGTCTTAGGGTTGAATCGCTCTGTGGTTGTGTCATTGGTCACAGTTTGTCTTAAGGATAATCCCCTCCAAACGGCTCCGGGGTCTGGAAGGAAGGCATTGTTCTGTGTTTATGTAATTATCTCCTGGGACTTCTCTGTGTCATTACCCATATCAGCCCTCCCCTTCAAGTTATCGGACCAATCCCTGCTGACCCTGTTTCAAGTCCTCCTTTGCATGGCCACACATATCAGCCCTCCCCTTCAAGTTATCGGACCAATCCCTGCTGACCCTGCTTCAAGCCTTCATTTGCATGGCCAATAGGAAGGTGTTGGTTTGGGCGGGTTGTTCAAACTGTGGTGTATATAAGTGTGTGTGTGCATCCAATAAAGCAGATCCCTGTTGGAACTTCCATACAGCCGGCCTGGTGTTTGTTCTGAGCTGGATTGGAACGGCACATAGCTGTAGTTCCAATCCCGGATTATCTGACGATCGAAGGATCAGACGTTGCGGTCTGACATCTGATCCAATAGCAGCAGAGGAGTGCCGGGAGAGTGGAACCGAGCGAGCAGGGGCCCGTTACAACCATATTCTTGCCTGCTTTCATATTACTCAGGATATTTAAGATGTCCTTGCTATCCTTCAAATAAGCTGTAGCTTTATTCACTAATGATTGCAGGTGCCGATCTATGTATTCTCCTAACCTAGCTGTGAGGGAGTTTATCCCGCTCACAATGGGTCTGCCTGGAGGAGCTTTTAAATCTTTGTGTATTTTAGGTAGAAAATATAATATCGGAGTTCGGCTCGCCAGAGGTATTAAATATTCTTTCTCTTTCTTAGTGATAAGGTCATCTTTATAGGTCAAACTTTCTCATTCTTTTTTAAATTCATTAGTGGGATTTTTGTTTAGTTTTAGATATGTATTCGGTTTTGGAATAATATTTTCCATCTCTTTCAAATAGTACTCTTTGTCCATAACTACTACTCCACCACCAAAAAAAATAAAAAGTTTGAGCTTTTTTAAGAGCGCTATTTTATCAATTGTGTTACCGAAATGACACATCTGTTTCTTTTTGTGTCGATTTGAGAATGGAAATGATTTTTTTGTACTGTGTGGACACCTAGTGGCGCTTTCTATGAATGATTTTACACGGCCTATATAAGTCGTAAGAAGGTATCAATGAGTAGACCTGCAAACCCCCTGAGGATGTCTGTGACGAAACGCGTCGGGGCGGGCCTACTCCATGTGATACCACGCTCTATCAGGAAGTACATGCCTTGCGGTTGCTGTATTCGGCGCTGTGATTTGACCGGCCGGCTGGAGAGATTCAGCACAATCAATATATGCGTTGTATATGAAGCACCTATAGCGCTGCACACTCATTTATTATTTATTGTTTTGACTTTAAAGTCTATAGCGCAGCAGCTCTCACACCCGATCCTTCCACAAGCGCAGATTTCACATTTTCTATATGCTCTGTCAGTGACAGTAATGCGGCGTATGTACCTCATACGTTATGTAATGGAAGTGGTTAAGTATGATTATGACAAAATGCCTATCTCAATAGATCAATTGTAATATATATGCTAATTTGCTCTCTGCTCTTCTTTGCACTCTTTACTCAAAACCTTACTCAGAACCCCCCCCCCCGATCCGAAGTACGCAGTAGAAATAGGAACCAAGTTGGCGCCTCCTCTTCATTCTACACACCCAAGACGAAAGATAGAAACATCTATAAACATCTTGGCAGGAAGTTAGGCATAAATGGATCTAACCAATGATAAGCTAGAATATAAACTAAAATATTTTTCTGCAATGCTACACTCAAATATACACGTGCAGCTGCCTATAAATGGCTGTTAGGCGGAAGAATAAAAAGCAGAAGTATCTTATACACTGAACAACTGGTCTCAGCGTGGTATTTTCTCTCAGAGAGTACACTCTATATATAATCAGGCCAGGCGGCAGATATAAGTACGGAACCTTTTGATCCGATCTACATTTTTGAGCAGGTCCAAAACAGTTACCGTGTTTCCCTGCAGAGCCCGGTCCTGTCTTTGCCTATAGCAGCGGTTCTCAAGCTGCGGGGTCGCTGTGCGATTTCTGCTGTGCTAGGTGAGAGTCCTCCTCAGCTCTCTCCTAGCGCAGCAGTGTCACTTCTCCCGCCGCGCCGCCAGATGTCGCTGCAGCAGCCGCGTCATCCCTAAATTTTACCGTTGGGGTCACCACAACTTGGCAAATGTTACCAGGGGGCCCTAGAAAGCTTGAGAGCCCCGGTGATAGAGGAATACTTGCTGAGTGAAGCTGGATGGATCACTGCTTGTATAATCAGGTACAAATACACGATAAAGAAAAGAGAATCTTCTGGACTAATACTTGAACCTGTAACGAATAGTTTAGCTCTTGTTTGCCATCTCCATATGAAGAAGTTGTTTTATATCTGTAACGGGCCCCTGCTCGCTCGGTTCCACTCTCCCGGCACTCCTCTGCTGCTATTGGATCAGATGTCAGACCGCTCGATCGTCCGATAATCCGGGATTGGAACTACAGCTATGTGCCGTTCCAATCCAGCTCAGAACAAACACCAGGCAGGCTGTATGTAAGTTCCAACAGGGATCTGCTTTATTGAATGCACACACACACTTTTATACACCACAGTTTGAACAATCCGCCCAAACCAACACCTTCCTATTGGTCATGCAAATGAAGGCTTGAAGCGGAGTCAGCAGGGATTGGTCCGATAACTTGAAGGGGAGGGCTGATATGTGTGGCCATGCAAAGGAGGACTTGAAACAGGGTCAGCAGGGATTGGTCCGATAACTTGAAGGGGAGGGCTGATATGGGTAATGACACAGAGAAGTCCCAGGAGATAATTACATAAACACAGAACAATGCCTTCCTTCCAGACCCCGGAGCCATTGGAGGGGATTATCCTTAAGACAAACTGTGACCAATGACACAACCACAGAGCGATTCAACCCTAAGACAGGGTGGAGGACCCACCACTGTGTAACATAGTCCAGGAGACCTGGTTCAGTATTCCAAGGACCATGACAATATCTTTTTAAAGTTCGGCTTATTTTGGACAATTCCCTTTTTTCGATGCATAGTTAAAGGGTTTCTAAACCCGCAGCTTTTTTTGCCAGCAGGAGGTAAATGCAAAAAGTAAATGAAAACGCTGGTTAACAGCGGTGAAAACTTCCCTGCGTGTTCCCCGCGCGCTCCCGTGCGAAAATGTGAAACTTCTCGGGGCGGCCGCAAAGCATCTTGGGGCGGGGCGCATGCGCAGTTCACATTTCCGGCCGGGACGCGAGGAAAGACAAAAAGTAAGTCTATGGACGGCGTGCGCCGGCATGCAGACACCGTGGGAGAGAACGTGCCAGCAAGCTCAGAGGAGTCAGCGCCGGAGAGAAGACTGAAAACTACAGGAAAGAAGAAGAAGAAGATCGGATTAAAAGGACATCAGTTAAGGTAAGTGCTGACATTAACATTGGGGGGA